CCAAGTACACCAACATTATTTGAAATAGAAAGTCACTCATAGCACTTTGCATTACTCGCTGGAATGTAGCAGGCGCATTAGTTAGACCAAACGGCATACGGGTCCACTCGTACAGTCCCAGTGGAGAAATAAATGCAGTCTTATGTTGATCGTTGGGGTGCATGGCCACTTGGTGGTAGCCACTAGCCAAATCCAAGGTAGAAAAAAATCTTGCTCCCCCCAACGCATCAAGACATTCATCAATACGAGGCAAGGGGAATGCATCCCTTCTTGTGATATTGTTCAATTTCCGGTAATCACAACACAGTCTTATCTCCCCTGACTTCTTTTTTACCACTACTATCGGTGCCGCATACGGGCTTGTGCTGGTTGTAATAATTCCCTTTTTTAGTAGATCGTTCAGGTGTGCTTTCACCGCAGAGTAGTGACTTGGTGGTAATCTTCGATAAGGTTGCGCCACAGGCTTGTCTTGTAGTAAGGGTATCTGGTGTTTTATTACTTCCGTGTACCCCAAATCACCCTCGTACGAGGCAAATATATCCCTGTACTTATTCAGCAATTCATTTAATTTTGGGTCCTCAGTTTCCGGGAATGTATATGATCGGCCATCCTCTTTCTTCACCTCGGCCGTCACATTGACCGACCTAATTGTTACTTCATTACTGCTGGTATTGATCAGTTCGATGCACTGTGCCAACTTTTGTACCTCGACGTTCTGTGGTACTCCTACCAGAGTGTTAGGCGGTATAAAAATTTCCTCATCCAATACATTTGCCACTAACCCTAGAACCAGTCCATTTTCCGCTGATGTGTATGTCCGCAGTAACACGACGCCTGCCCTCAGTGCGGCGCCACATGGTTCTATCATCACATCACCATTCACGCTTCTATCACCAATTTGTAATGTGATTGCCTTGACCGTGTTTGCCGGGACTGATATCCTTCCTCTGGTCTTGGCAAACCTGGCCAACTTGGATCCCCGACCTGGTGTGGTCGATCCGACAATATTTGTAAGAAATTCTGGCAACTGGCCAAGAATATTCATGCCCAACAGGCAAGGTATATTTGACACATTTGTCTCTAGGTTGTGTTTCGTAACGAACACCCCAACCTGCTTCAACCTATGTCCCGCCACCACGACATCCGCCAGAAAATAACCACAGTATGGAATGGTTAATCCATTAGCTGCCGTTAGGCGCATGCATGTGTCAGACCTTAAACTATGGTCTTTTCCTTTCATCCATTTGGTGTAAAATTGTTCCGTAATTGTCGTCACCTGGGAGCCTGTATCCACAATTGCCTTCACCGCGATGTCCCCGGTGGTAATCATCATTTCGGGACAGACTACCATCATTTTGTTTCTTGGGCCATAACCTCGCCCCTCTGTAGCCTGACCCTGCCTTACATAAGGCGATCGTTTCCCCTGACAGTCCCGTGCCATATGTCCGGGTTGTGAGCAGGACAGGCAGATTGGTCGACCGTCAGCTGTCCACTGGAGTGATGGACCAGCAGGTCGCGGCTGTCCAACCTGTCTATGTTTTGTCCCGTTTTTGCCCTGATTCTCTGCTGTTGACCTGCTTTCTAACCTCTCCAATCGTTGGTCAACCTTATCCAGGTGGGCCAACAGTTGAGCCATCATGGTTTCCATCGTGCCGGTCCCTGTGGGTGGGGATTGTTTCTGTTCCGGCACAGAGACTTTGTCTACCGAACAGTTCGATTGGTCCTCATCCTCGGACCTGCGGATCGCTGAGTTCCTGACCTGAAGGAAGGTCAACTGTGGGTCTTTGTAGACCTCTTCTCTCAAATCTCTCCTTAAAATAGGGGTTGCTAGCCCCTCGATGAAATGGTCCCTCAGCAGGCGCACATCAATGTCGGGTGTTTTGCCCTTTACCGTATCAAAGGCCCTGTTCATTCGGTGTGAATACTCCATCACACTCTCCGCCATTCTCTGCTTTAAGCCTACGAAACCCGATAGCAGTTGCGATCCCGACCGTCTCTCCCCAAAGGTCTCCTCAATTAGATCTAGCACCTTATCTGGATCTGTTTGGAGGGCTTTATCGTGGCATTTGACCTCTGCCCTAACCGTCTCTCCTATACTGCTCATCAACAACCTTAATCTTTCCTCTGGTGACATGTATCTCGAGGCCCAGGCAGCCCTGACCTCTTCACTGAACCTGTTGGTTAAGGTTGGATCACCGTCCCCGTAAAATTTGTTGATGTGGGACTCATTGGGCAGGACCACAATATGGGTCGGCCTTTCGTCGAAATTCTGTCCTGGTCCATCTGGAGGCAAAGGGTCATCTTCACTGCTGTCTATCTCTGGGCTATCTTTATCTGGCTCAGACCGTTGGGCCAGCAGGAGTCTCTGTCCCTTTCCGATATCTAAAATACCACTCCCGCGTCTGCCACTCACACCAAGGAAAAATGTTGCAGCTATGCAGCAGATAGTGTTGCCCAAAAGGGAGATCATGACATATTTCCAGTGTCCAAGAGTTACGTCTATATCTTGGTTGCCATCTTTGCCTAGTATTTGTCCCACAACCAAATTGGAGATACCAATACCAATTATCTGGATGCTGGTGGTCAGTCCCATAGCTGTCCCCAGGGTAGTTGGTGCTACAACTAGGGGTATACTGGGCCACATGCTTGCAGCAGCAAAAGAGCATGCGACACCAAGCCAGAATGATAATGAAAGGTGTCTCATCTCTGTTCTTTTCAATTTCCTCGATTCTGATTTCAGTTTTCCCTTTTATATATTTCCTTCAAATAAAAAAAGACCTTTCTTACCGTGTATGTAAGAATACTTTTCCCTGTTCCTGAATGTCCGAATTCACACACACGAAACACAGTTATTAACTAGGTTGACTATGGGTGCCTAAAGCGGCTGGTCTAGTTGAATTCTTCTGCTCGACAACGCCAAATGTTACCGAGTCTATTTGCTTGTAGTGCCAAATGTTACCGATTTCACTGCTGACAGAGCCAAGTGTTACCGAGTGTATTTACTCGTGCTACCTTTGACCAGCACACAACATCGACCACAATATAGATACTCGGAAATGCAGGTTTACATTGATCTCTTTATTACATGAATCAATAGAAATGCTCCACATAACAATGCACCAATGTTCCATAAGAATACAATGAACCAACTGACCCCCACTGTCCTCACTAGTCCTAACATAACAGAATGCACGTGTCCATCGTTCCTATTCTCACGAATCACACACGTCTACACCGTTCAGTAACCAACTGGGTTCTGCCTCTCTCTACCAGTCGCCTTCCCATCATCCCCTCGTATACGTAATAATTACCATTTGTTGCATCAGAACTATTAACTGCGCAGCGGCCTGGTGTTCGTTATCAGTCCTGCAACTGTTGCATCAGACTGTAATACGTTCTTACAATAGTATGGTAACTACCCTAGTTACATATATATATATATATATATATATATATATATATATATATATATATATATATATATATATATATATATATATATATGTGTGTGTGTGTGTGTGTATGTGTGTGTGTGTGTGTGTGTGTGTGTGTGTGTGTGTGTGTGTGAACATGATAACTTGAGTACCGTTACAGCTAGGTTGATGAAATTTCAAATACAAGTATTATATAAAATTTGTAGTTCTGTATAAACTTTTCAGCGATTTCCGATACCGGAAGTGGAATTTATTCTACTTTTAGCTTTTCAAAAGCCTATAACTTGAGTACTATTTCAGAAAGTTAAACGAAATTTCACATATAAGTAAAAGATCTAACCCTCTGACTTCTATCAGATTTTGAGTAATTTCCGTTGACCGGAAGTAGTAATTTACGCTATTTCCGATTTCTAAAAAAAACGCATATGAATTTATAAAGTACTAATATATTCCGCACTATTATACACACATTGTTTGCCATTCACTTGGTGCGCAATTATTTTTTTTCTACAAGATTCTAATCTACTTTTAAAAATCATATCTATTTCCCGAGTTTAAGAGGATCACTCCCGGTTTATTTTACCAGAGTTTTATTTTAATATTTCTAAATGTGTAACTGATATCTAAACGGTAAAATATTATGTCATTTTTTTTCTAAACAATTGTTTTAAAACCGTTTTTAACACTCTCGTCGCTTTAAATTAATGTTACCTCTTTCATCTTCTCGTTTAGCCCATCTGATGACAATATCTTAAGTCTTTTAATCAATCTGTGCATTTAATATGGTGTTGTGTTTACTAATTATGTATAAAATTTGGTTATATTTTTTCTAATAGGTATTAGTAACCTATGTTATTTTTAATGTGTCGGACTTTTAGCTATTTATTTATTTCTTTGCTTTGTCACTAATATCGTTAAACCTGTAGTAAAGCACAATGCGTTTTGACCAATAACTAATTTATAAAACTTTCTTCTAAAAAATGTATACCATTAAAAATATATAGACCGATAATTCACGTGTAGCGGGTACCAACTGCTAGTTTAGTAATAAGAATCAATGTAAGCAGGCTGAATTCACGAAGTCAAAAATTTTTCGATGCGTGTGAGAAGAGAGTGTGACGTCACAAATTTCAACTTGACAACGTGACCGCTGGTACCGATACAACCGTCTGGATGTACCCAATACATAACAACCGGCAGCAGTAGGATAAATGTACCTATGCATATATGCTAAGCGCAAACTCGGTATGTCGCGCTTTCGCGACAGTCGGCGTTAAGGAGTTAAGAGAGGGAAAGTATGTAGCAAGCGGTTACATGGAGCAACGCCTAGCCGACAACGGCTGGTAATTATATAAAAGCTTGTTATTAACACGAAGTTTTTAATACATTTTTTAAAAATTGTATTTGTGTTGATATCGGATATAGTTTGAAACACACAACCTGAAAATTCTATTAGCCTTTTAATTTATGTTGATTAGTGTTGTTAAATTTAGTAAGGGATATAAAGAAAACGCAAGTCAATAATCAGTGTTACTATAAATTTATTTACTACAAAAAAATCTGCTTCAAAATTAGGAAGTATGTACTTCTTTACTATTTCATTATTTTCTAAAAAAAAAATGTATTGTAGTTGGGGTAAACAATTACAGACGATGTCACAGCCTCTGAATGCTCATTGCAATCATCATTTGGCACTAATATGTGGCTGCTCATTCACGTTGGTTTTGATACCTGTCACGTTTCCCATCACTTTGTAGTGGGTGATTTTTTCCACGTCTACGTTGTTTAGTGCAATCTTTCCCAGCGGTCTTTCGTCCACTTTGATCTAAGATTATTTTTTTAAAGTATAGGTCTTCAATTTGGAACCATAAAATGTTAAATAACTTTACTGTGATAAATATAACTGTAGTTATCGTTTATCAAGGATTACAAGAGCATAAAATGTTAAAATAGCATGCCGCAATTATTAAAAGTGGGTTCACTTACGAAGTAGCTTAGATTGTCAAATGTGATTTTCAATGTAAATTGGTTTTTCCCAAAAAGAAAATTGTCACCAATGAATGTCGGAGAGCCTGACGAGCTGGTTAAAATCACTGTATTCTTGTATCCGTCTTGATTATAGCAGACCTTGATAGTTAAAAAAGGCTTTGATGGGTTCGTTTTATCGCTCAGCTCGATGGAAAACCTTAAATAAAAAAAAGAAAATAACAATACATAAAGCATCCTTCAATTAATCAATTTGTATTATATGTTCACTCAAACGACAAATATAACTCATGTAGCTTAGTTTTGTTTTAATAATAATTTCAGACTACATATTATAATAGATCAAGGTATAATCTATAATATAAGCGGGCTGAGCGTGTGTCAGTCCTTCCTTCCTTCCTTCCTTCTGTCATCGCTATAGCTTTTGGAACCATAAAAGTAAACATTCGCACAACGCAGTGCTCTTCAGTGCACCGCAGTGTCTTATTATAAGTATTAGAGTAGAGTTTGTTTATATAGTGGCATAGAGCTATTTTATAATTTCCACCGTTTGTACAATTTTGCATAACGTAAAGATAATATTAAATACACGCACATTGCTAAAACATATTAAAAGGATCAATGTCAAATATAGTTTTCGTTGATATTCCTCGAAAAAGTGGATACATTTTTATAACATAATAACAGTACGGTAGAAAAATCAAATTAATTTAACTCTTTTTTTCTAATTTTGACAAGGGAGGTAATTTAAAAATAAATTTAACTCACGCTAAATAACAAAATTATTAAAATCTACGGAATGGCTAAAGTTAAATTAAATGTATGTAGTTTAATACATGTTGTACGTCGGCGGTTTACATTACACCACGGGGAAGGGGAGAAGAGAAATCTCGGCAGACATCAGTTAGAGCGTTGCGCCATTTTTAAAATTTTTATATTGTTTTAAAAATAAGTAAAATTAAATTTTAGAGAGGTTTATGAGTTACGATTTTGGTTGCTATATCAGCATAAAAAAACATCATAGATACAGCCGTTTGGATAATACAGTGATGTACGAGTGGTGCTTGCGGGTTGATGTGGCTTGGACAGGGGTCGGCAACCTGCGGCTCGCGAGCTGCATGCGGCTCTTTTGACGTCCAGATGCGGCTCTCCAGCTCCTTGCACACACATTAATAGTTATATAATTTCATTTTTACTGGACGGTGGGGTACGACTTTACCCTGGAAGATAAGCCTTATGAGAACCAAAGGATAGAAGCGTACGATGCAAGTTATTCAAACCGATACCCAAGCCAGTTAGTCGGCTTTTGCCGTGTTGAGGCCTGACTGGCTAATGGGAGACACCTCCTGAGCCGGTGATATCCGTAAAGAAAAAAAATTAAGAGCTTCTAAAGTGCGTTGAGATAGTCCTAGAATAATATTGTTTGAGTACTAATTTTTACTATTCTGCCAAAACATGTCTATGTTTTTATATGAATACATATTATTTCATATTTAAAGCTATTTATTTTAAATAACAAATCAAATTTATTTACCAAAATATTGAACTAAAAATTGTGACTCTTTAAAAACTGGGAAATTTTGTAAATTGTAACTTTTGGCTCTTGCGTATCAAAAGGTTGCCGACCCCTGGGCTAAGACAATGAAGTGTAGGGTAGCTCGAGGTTTGAGTTAGGTGTGGGTCGACACAGTGTTGAATTTTTTCCGATTGCTGTTCATGTGTCGTAAGGTCTATTTTATGGTGATCGGCGCTGTTATTTTAATGTATTGAATTCTCATTAATTAAACTATGTCTCTCTTAAAACCCTTCAAAAAAAAAAAAAAAAAAAAAAAACACAATGATTACAATTGCGCCATTTTTTTTACACACACCTTATAGAAAGATAATGATACAGTCAGCTGTTTATTCATTTTGCTTTATTTGCTTTAAGGGGATATGCAAATGTAGAACTATAGTATTTATTTATTTAGAGTGGCTTGCAGTTGAGACTAATATTGAAGCACACATGTTACTTTTTATTTGTATCAGACATTAAAAAGAATAATAGACTTTCTATAATTTAATAATAAAATCAAATTCATTCATGAAAAGTATATTTCTATATACGCGAACCTTTTAATTTAAAAGATGGTAAAAAGTTATCCCAACATTCTACTGAAAAAATACGTCACACTTTGTGCGATTATGACGTCAGATGTGCATAGCGTTCAGTAGCCAAGTACTATTGGTTTTACAATATTTAGAAGGTTGTCGTAATTCGTACCTTACTTATCATGATATAAATTAGATTTAGCTTTTAAAAAGTCGATTTTAATTTTAAAAAACCCACAAATGTACAGAATGAAGTAAACTGACCTTAAAGTATTTTTTATATCGTTTGTTTGTACAGTGTAAACGCTAGAGATGTTATTACTTGCTAATGTTCTAATCGGGAATTCCCAAACACCGCGCCTTTTAGTTTGGTGCAGTCAATGATAAACATGTTAGTTTTTAATGCAGCTACAAAAATGGTAAGATCAAGTTACACATATCAATAAAAGTGTCCATTTGTAGTTTTATATAAGAAAAGTATAGCGCACAAAAGCATTTAAACTTATTGTTAATACGCCTCTGAGTATTCTGCGTGTTATTTAACATACAAAGCCCTAACTAACATGCCGCCTAAACGACAGCAACCACCAACGGCATCAGAAATTGAAGCAAAAAAACAACGTAATACTGAAGCTCAGCGGCGCCGTAGAGCAGCCATGTCTGAACAACTGCTGCAAAAGCATAGGGAAACAGATACCGTTAGCCATCAACGACGCCGAGAAGCGATGGATGTAGAGCAGATACAACAACTACGTGAAGCAAATACAGTTAGCCATCAACGACGCCGAGAAGCGATGGATGTAGAGCAGATCCAACAACTACGTGAAGCAAATACAGTTAGCCATCAACGACGCCGCGAAGCGATGGATGTAGAGCAGATCCAACAACTACGTGAAGCAAATACAGTTAGCCATCAACGACGCCGCGAAGCGATGGATGTAGAGCAGATCCAACAACTACGTGAAACAAATGTTGTAGGTCAAAGACAACGCAGAAATAGAATGCAACACAATCAGATTTTGCAAGAGCGCAATGAAAACGCCGAAAGGCAAAGAGTTGTACGTCAACATAAAAAAGGACGTCTGAATAAATTTGTCAGATCCTGCAATACCGCTTTACTCTATGAAAACTTCGCAGAAGATGAAATTGAAGAAAGTTACCTCGGCGCAATGAGCATTAATTGTCCATTTTGCTATGCTAAGCATTTTAAAAATGAATGCTCATCCAATTGTTGCCACAAAGGGACCATTTTATTACCAGAAATAAAAATGCACCCTTACATTTCAAATTGTATGAGTGGATCGGATCCCAATTCCAAAAATTTTATGGAAAACATCAGATCGTACAATAGTGCAATGGCCTTTGCCTCGATGGGAGCACAAGTGGATGAAACAGTGACTAGACGTTCAGGTCCCTATTGCTACAGAATTCATGGGCAAATATATCACGCTACCTCTGCACTATACCCGCGTGAAGGCGAATCACCAAAATTTGCCCAATTGTACATTTTGGATTCGGCTCAAGCTTTAAAAGCGAGAATGTCTAATCCTGCAAACAGTGGATGTATGACTGAAGTTATGGAGAATCTCCAAAACCTTTTTTGTGAAATAAACCCGTTATCAAAGGAATATAATAACTTGATGACTTTTGAAAAAAATGAAATGCTCAGGGCAAATCGCGATAATCGAGCTCCCATCGAGTACAGCATGACTTTTTTGAAGGAAAGTGTTGTTCATAATGATGTGCACCCTGGCAGAAGCAAAGCTCCCACTGCTAGAGGAGAAATCGCCGCTGTTTTTCACAGTGCAGACGGTGCACCCCCCGAAAATCGAGACATTACTATTCATCCGAAAAACGGTAATTTACGAAACATATCAATCCTAAGCAGACTCTGCGATCCGATGTGCTACCCTGTGCTTTTTCCATACGGAGATTCAGGGTGGACCACAGACCTAAAAAAAAAACAAGGGTCAAGAAAATGTATCTCAACTACAGTGGTACTCCTACCATTTTGCCATTCGCGTTGGAAAGTTTAATCAGTTCCTCAACGCAGGAAAGTTAACTCACCAGTTTATGGTTGACGCATATTGTAAGACAGAGGCAAATCGGTTAAATTGGTTTCGTAAAAATCAAAACTCAATCCGAGCTGAAGACTACGATGTGCTTCACCGATTTGTCAACAACCAGAACCAGGATGATGTTACCAGATTTCCAGGGAAAAGAATCATTTTGCCTTCAACGTTTCAAGGCAGTCCCAGAAATATGACCCAGAACTATCAGGATGCTATGGCCATTGTAAGAAAATATGGTAAACCTGATTTGTTTGTGACAGTAACCTGCAACCCCAAATGGAGAGAAATAAAGGAAAGTTTACTAGCAGGCCAGCAGCCATGTGATAGGCCTGATTTGGTAGCTAGAGTTTTCGAAATGAAACTGAAATTGCTCTTAAATGATTTGACTAAATTCCATAGATTTGGACGTGTTAGAGCAATGCTTTACGTTATCGAATTTCAGAAACGGGGTCTACCACACGCGCACATATTGATGTTTATGGTGCCGGAAGACAAAGCCTGGGAAAATGAAAGAATAAATAAAATAGTTTGTGCAGAAATCCCAGATAAAGCTTCACACCCACGTCTACATGAAATAGTGGAAACCTGTATGATACACGGCCCATGTGGTCCGCTAAATCCAAAATCAACATGCATGGAAAATGGTAAATGCAGCAAAGAATACCCAAAAGCTTTCTGTGCAGAGACCAACAGCAATGTCAGGGGGTATCCGCAATATCAACGCCGTGACAATGGACATTTTGTTGAACGTGGTGGAAACAAATTGGACAACAGATGGGTGGTGCCATACAACCCATACCTGACTCTAAAATATAACGCCCACATAAATGTAGAGATATGCAGCTCAGTTCAAAGTGTTAAGTATTTGTTTAAATACGTTTACAAGGGACATGACTGTGCAAATATAACATTTCACACTGTGAACACAGAGCAAGAAACTGTCGTGGAATGGGACGAGGTTAAACATTATTTGGAGACTCGATATGTAAGTGCACCTGAAGCATGTTGGAGGCTCAGGGAATATAAAATGCACCACCAAACTCATCATGTGGAAAGGTTAAATGTCCACCTTGAGGACAAACAAACAATATGCTTTATTCCAGGCAAGGAGGCTGAAGCTGTGCAACAGAAAGCCACAAAGTCCAAGCTTCTGGCTTGGTTTAAGCTCAATCAGGAAGATCCAAATGCCCGAGATTATTTATATATTGAAATCCCCGAACACTATACATGGGATGACAAAAACTCCAAATGGAAACCGCGTCTTAGGGGACACGAAACAACAATTGGAAGAATGTATTCAATAAGCCCCACAGATAGAGAAAAATGGTTTCTCCGTATTCTTCTTCTTAATGTTAAAGGTGCCACATCTTACACTGACCTCAGAAAGGTTGAAAGAAATTCTACCCCATTTGCATCCTTTCAGGAAGCATGCATTGCAAGGGGTTTGACCGATGATGACTCCGAATGGGATGCATGCCTAACAGAAGCTGCAATCCATCAAATGCCAGTGCAACTGAGGCAGTTGTTTGCTTTTATTTGTCTCATGTGTGAGCCTTCAGATGCAGCAGCATTATTTGACAGACATTCAAAATCACTGATGGAAGACTTTCAAAGACAATTTCCTGATGGAGATCGAGCTTTATTTTTAACACTGAAAGATATTGAATCTGTCTTTCTGACTCATAGAAAGTCATTGGCAGATTTTCGCCTAGACCTCCCAGCCGACAGATATGCAGAGCCTGTTCATCCTGGGAAAAAATTTGATCCAGTGACTGAAGGGACATTGTTTGAAGAAAAGTTTCGCATGCTTAACTCTGGACAAAGAAAGGCTTTCGACATAATCAGGGCAGCCATTGAAAACCCTGACTTACCCAACCGTCTCTTCTTTATTGATGGACCAGGAGGAAGTGGTAAAACGTTCCTATACAACACAATCATGCACTACGTACGCAGCAAAAAGGAATTGGTCTTGCCATGTGCATTTACGGGCATAGCAGCAACTTTACTTGAGGGAGGCATAACATCACACAGCCGTTTTAAGCTGCCTATTCCAATAAATGAAACATCCACATGTAATGTGCGACACGGGACAAATACGGCGAACGAGCTTAAAAAGGCCAAAGTGATAATCTGGGATGAAGCTTCAATGGTCCCAGCACATGGAGTTGATGCAGTTGACTCACTTTTTAAAGAGCTTTTAGCTGAAAACCCACACGTTCCTTCTAGGAAACCGTTTGGGGGTGCTGTTTTTCTATTCGGTGGCGATTTTCGACAAATTCTCCCTGTTGTTCCACATGGCAGTAGAACTGAAATAGTTTCCTCATGCATGAAGAACAGCAAATGTTGGAATCACATTCAGGTCTTAAAGTTAGACCAAAACATGCGTGCTAATGACCAGAACGATCTGTTACAAACCCGGGATTTTTCAGAATGGCTTTTAAAACTTGGTGATGGAAAACTACAAGAGCCGGGACTAGAGGAAGACATCTTTGAAGTTCCACCAGTCTGCATCGAAAACGGGTGTATTGTAGATGCCGTCTTTCCTGGGGTCATCGTACCAGGTGATGAAAGCATTGCTAACCGGGCCATCCTAACACCAAAAAACCAGGAATCTATCGAACTAAATGAAATGATTCTAACAAGAGTTCAATCGGAATTAAAATGCTATCAGAGTATCGATTCCATTCAGCAAGACAGTACAAATGCAGAGGAGGCAGCAAACTATCCATTGGAGTTTTTGAACAGTCTAACACCTGGAGGTATGCCACCTCATAGACTTAATTTGAAAGTTGGGTCAGTTGTTATGTTGCTCCGAAACCTTGATTCCACCAGAGGCCTTTGCAATGGCACCAGAATGGTCGTCAAGCAGCTAATGTCAAAAGTCATAGACTGCGAAATAATGATCGGGTCGTTTAAAGGCACGAGAGTGTTCATACCAAGAGTTATTCTTTCGCCCAGTGACTCCAACCTTCCCTTCACGTTAAGAAGGAAACAGTTTCCATTGAGACTTGCTTTTGCCATGACGATAAATAAAAGCCAAGGACAAACAATGGATACTGTAGGCATTTATTTGCCTTCACCAGTTTTTAGTCATGGGCAACTCTATGTAGCATTCTCAAGATCCAGGTCATTTCAGAGAATCAAAGTAAAAGTAATAGGAACTAAACAGCAAGGCAATTTAAAGAAAGATCACAGAATTTACACCAAAAATGTGGTCTATAAAGAAGTTTTTGCCAATTAGTTAAACTTCATAGCCAGCCGTGGCTTTATCAAACAAACGGCCATGTATTCCAACAAGGAACGCATGCGTGGGGCAGCACATGGAAGGGGGTCCACGTCCCTTGCCCTGGGTGAAAACTATTTACTTTTTGTTTTCAGCTAACGCTTCCATAAAAAAATATTCCCACCAGCCTGGGGGTAGGAACATAGCATGCTACGGCTGATCCTCATTTGAACTGTTCTATTCATTAGAAAACTATACATTTCAACTTCTTAGCGAATCATGGTTACTTTGTAAGGTAATCTGTTAACCAACAATTGTTCTATAAGGTTATATTTTTTTCGGTTTAGTTACATGATTTTAATTTTGTTCTATTCCTAAATTTGTACATTTAAAAAAGTTTAACCGTGGCGAAGCACGGGTATGCAGCTAGTAATTATGTACTGATAGTATCACTAGGCAATGTTTAAAACTGTTGAGAAAATTTATTGAACAAATATTTGTTCTGTATGCTTACCTTTATTTCTTTGTATTCATATTGTTTCGTATTGTATGCACAGTAGACAACCTACTCAAAATGGTACTTACCAATTAGGATCTTTTTCAGGTGTAGCGATGAAAGAAATTTCAGAACTTTTTTTTATATTAACAAAATCACCTTCATTGCCATTTTGCTGAAGTATTGTTTGAGGAAAAAAAATCGATTTTAATAATATATTTCTTTCAATATTTCCTTTTAAATTAACTAACCGAACCGTATTTGATAAAAAAACAAACATCTAAACTCACCTGACTCATGTTGATGTTTATAGAACTTTGGTCGGTTGTAAGTAGACGGCGGTGGTCGCAGATGTCTGCGAGAAAAGATCCACGACCTCTTATATAGAAAAGAATTGCCCAGGATGTGCTTGTATTGACCAATCAAAATTTAGTCTCTATGCTATTGGCCGCGTAACTGGAACCATCTCGTGCGTTGAATTCTTAGAAAAGGTGTGATTTTCGGCTAATTAGCATTTGAGTTTTTTATGTATATAAATAATGCCAGCACTAAATAATTTGAACTATAGTTTTTCGGGCGCTAGTTTGTCTACTACCGCCAGATTGCGGGTACGTTGATAACCCTCCGAAAGGGGCGCTGCGTGCCACCCTGCTTCAATTTACTCATGGATTGTAGTGGCCCACCGTTTCCCTAGTAAATGTAACTCAGGACCGCCTGTACGATCACTTTAAACGTTTAGCCAGGCAGATTTGCAGCAGTGTACTCAACAGCTTCTCGACTTTACATGGCGATTGGATGAGTGGTGTGGTAAAGCAAAAACTTTAATTGCCCTGTTAAACTACCAAAAGGAGCATCAGGCATAGCCCCTGTTTCATTTTAGTCATTGATTTAGTAGCCAATCGTACCCCTAATGTTGGGCGTTCTTTATAACGAATGAACAGAGGCGTCGCAAGTGGAGGGCGGGGAATGCGGACCGCACCGGGTGACACCATTTAGGGGGTGGTGATACAAAGACACAAAAACTGAAAAAAATATAGAAATAAACCGGGAGTGATCTCCCCTAAACTTTCTCGAATATTCTTATATAAAAAACAGGGGATGGTAACTCGGGATATAGTTATGATTTTTAATCCATTTTAAATATTTCAACTTTTTAAAATAGAATAGAATCTCATAAAATAAGAATTGCGTACCAAGCGAACGCCGAATAAAGATGTGTATAATAGTGCGGAATATTATTAGTACTTTATAAATTCACATGCGTTTTTTGAGAAATCGGAAATAGCGTAAATTAGTACTTCCAATCAACGGAAATTACTCAACATTTGACAGAAGGTAGAGATATAGATCTTTTACATACATGTGAAATTTCATTTTTCTATCTAAAATAGTACTCAAGTTATAAGCTATTGAAAAATTCAAAGTAGAAAATGTATCACTTCCGGTTATCGGAAATCGCTCAAAAGTTGATACGGATCTACGATTTTGATAAAATACTTATATATAAAATTTCATCAACCTAGCTGTAACGGTACTCAAGTTATCATGTTTACACACACACAGACACACACACACACACACACCTACACACACACACAGACATACGGACAATAATGCAAAATTATGTTTTTCCGTATTAGTGAGGTGTAAAACGTCGAGATTTGTAAAAATCTCTAAAAATCTCGATTTTTTATTTTTTGCACGATTACAAGACTTTTTCTTTACTTCGTATATACGAGAAAGTAAAAAGATATTTGTGTATTTATATTCCTACTAGGCATGCTGCCCAGCTTTGCTTAGGCTTTCGAAAACATTGAGAATTTGAATGCTTAATTAATTCGCCCGAGGGTCGGTCTACGACCCCAGGAGTTATAAAGAGGTTCCTCCGTGGACATTTTTTTTCGATTTATAGCTCATATAAGGCGCCGGTCAGTCGAGGTTAGTTTTGACCCCATCATCGTAGACTTTTCGGCCAACCGGCCCCCGTGTTCTGTCGCCCCTAGGCAAGATCCTGCCAAATTTGAAGCGCCTGCGGCGCCGGGAAGTGCCCTATTGGGCACCCGACAACTTTGCTTTATCTAATATATAAAGCTCAGTTCTGTAACGTGTGGCAAAAAAGTTTGTCGTTGACAGTTCTATGGATTTAAGTGTTAGATTTTTTATCGTGCTCACAGTCTAAATTTACGAGTCAAAAAATTACCATTGAAAGTCTTTAAAAACAATTTTCATTCTATTTACTTAGAAGAATAATTTTCAATTATGAACGCGACATAAAATTTTTAAAAAGTGTATCGACGTTTATAAAATTTCTAAAATTGTGTCGGAAATGTATTGACTGCACAGTTACTTCCCTTTAATAAAAAAAATTCTTAAGAAGAAAGAATTTACATTTTATTACTTTGTTTTTGGTGTTAAGAAAAAAATAATAATTACATAATTAGCGGGGATTGATTAAGTGCAATGTCGTTAGGTATTTTTAACACTGCCTTTTATTTATTCTATACACTGAACATACTGTTCAATATTTTTTTTTTAAATCAATAACATTTAATAAGCCAGGTCCTACAAATCCTATATGTTTATTTCTTTCCATTTACGGATAAGCTTGGAGTATTATCATTTTTGTTCACTAAATTGAAACAGGCGCGTCCGCCGGCGCCCTTGCACGGTTCGATTTGGCACCCTGGGCTATCATGTGAGCGCTATGCTGCATAGTTTTGTTTTTAACAGTGCGATAGACTATGGGTAAGAAAGGTTACTATAGTCTTTAAGTGAATCAAATCCGGGCGTCCTCCGGCACCCCGACAGGGTGCTATTTGGCGCCCCGGGCCTTCCGGTGTACGCTATGGTATATACGTTCGCGTGAGTTCCAAAGACTATGAATAAGTTATGTACTATAGTCGTTTACTAAGTTCAATCAGGCGGTGACGTCATGGTGCGTCCTCTGGCGCCCAGACAGGGTGCTATTTGGGGTCCCGGGCCTCCCGTGTTCGGTTTCGCGCCTACGTTCATTAAAGTGAGTGCAAAAGACTATGAATAAGTTGGGGTACTATAGTCGTTTATTAAGCTGAAACAGGCGATTCCGCCCCGGGCTAGACTCTGAGCACTGTGCGTTCATGTTCGCGTTAGTGTTTTCTTTGTGTTTAGGTTGGGTTTGCGTTAGTGGTTGCGTTTTGATTTGGTTCGTTTTTGTTCTTTCTTTTTTCGTTTTCGTTTGTGTTTTATTTTCTTTGCGTTTGTGTTTGTATTTGTGTTTGTGGTTGGTTTTGCGTTTGTATTTGGTTTGTTTTCGTTTGTTTTTTCGTTTGTGTTTTTTTCTTTGGGTTTGTGGTTGGTTTTGCATTTGGATTTGGTTTGTTTTCGTTTGCTTTTTCGTTTGTTTTTTTCTTTGTGTTCGTATTGGTGTTTGTGGTTGTGGTTGGGTTAGTTGTTAGGTTTTTGTTTTCGTTTGTATTTGTAATTGTGTTAGCGTTATGTTTGCGTTTTGTTGTTTTGGTTTTGGTTTGGGTGTGCAATGCCGGGTTTATGATGATTACTAAACACACAGGTAATGGTCTTTAACAGAAAGGTTTTTCACAGAAGCCAGAGCAGGGCCTGGCCGGGACGGCTAGTATATTATAGAGATTAGCAAATTGCATATATAAACAAAGATTTCAATAAAGTAATTAAGGCCTGAAATACTTTAGTATAGAAATGTATTATTTGAATAGATGAATCTAGAATATCTAGATCTAGAATCCAAATAAATAAAATAAATTTTATGAGTTTAGGCCGGAAAAATTCTATTGTATACATTTCATAGTGTACGTAGATCTAAATCAAATTTGAATGAAATAGTTCATTTCTTTTTATTCTAAACACGGCAGATGACGTCATTAGTTAATGTATAAGCATTAGTGACGTCACAGTATTATGCGTTCTTTTTCACATTTATTAATGCTTTTCCGGTTGCATAAATAATACTGTTTCTCTACATTCGAATAAGCCTTTAATTTTTATTTTTCTTCTTTAAATAAAATTGTGGTTATACATTTAAAACATCTAACATATTATTTTCAACAAAAGTCCGTATAAAGTTCTCCATATATCGCTGCCGTTTCTGACGTGATGTCCGGCGAAAATATTTTGCGGACAGACAGAGAGAGAGAGAGAGAGAGAGAGAGAGAGAGAGAGAGAGAGAGAGAGAGAGAGAGAGAGAGAAGTGCGCACATGGGGAATTATATATTAGGATTGCGATAAGTAATACTAGTTGGTATACTTCTAAAGCGTAAACAACTACTATTAATGGACAGTTGATAGGATATAAGTCCATGTATTGTGGTTTAAAAAATTTTAAGAACCACTGTCTCGGTGCAACGAGGTATAACAACATAAGATCACATGACTAGTCATTGGTAAACAATCTATGCTAAGAATGTTTCTGAGAAAGATTTTTGACACTGTGTATCACCGCTATTAAGAATTCGTGTTTTTTTTCTTAATTGCGCAATGTTTTGTTTGATCATGCGCTAAAAATGTGTATATTAATAATAATATCCCTCGTGACAGGGCTAAATGTATTCCAGTAGACATGACTTTCTATAAAATCTTTACCAGCCAGAGTCGTTATACTTGTAACGAATAAAAATCTTAACAATGGAACATAATCTGTTTTGTTTGGCATACATCATTAGCACAACGAAAGATTAGGTCACATGAATATTTTTAGAAACATTTAGTTATAAAATCTTACTTCATAAATTTCCTGCTTCTATTATCTCTGAAAGCTGTGGGGAAAATGTGCATTACATCTAGTGTCTGTGTTGGGGGATGGTATAGTGTAAAATAGTGTTTCTTATTTTGTCTTAGCGTAAGAAGATGATTTGGTTTTGGTTTGAGAAGATTTGGGATCTAAAGAGTCAGAGGATGAGACATCGGGGCCGAATGTGGGTTATTAGAGGTGGGCTGAAGGTGGCGTCTTTGGAAAGAGCAACGTTTTGGCCTGTGAAATGTTGGGGGGGGGGGGGTAGGTTTGGGAATGTACATATTCCTGTGATGTAATGGTCGCTTGTTTCAAAAGAATATGCTTCGTAGAATTAATTGTGGTGTAATCTTGTTATTTAAAATCGGACTATCTGTATGTAGCCTATCAGAATATAGGCCTACATCTAAAAGCGTGAACCGATTTTTCTAATGCTTAGAATATGTTTTAGTTTAAACCTAGTTTATTAGAGACTTCTGTTTTGTTTGTTCGGCGTTTTCTTCCGACTTTATTTGTATATTTTTTCTTTTGTGGTTGCTACACAAAATGTCGCAATTTGCTAGAAACTGCATTACTTTGTTCATAACTTGCAGATTCG